AACCCGCCAATGTAGAAATAGCCTAAGAGTTTCCTCCCATGAGCAGAATGAATTTTGTGTTGTGCACCAGTACTGAGTTCATGTGGCTTGTTTGGATGACAGCAGAGGAGGGGGAGGAGGTGGGGTGGGAAGTAGCAGGCACCAGGGGAGATGATGGAACAAGGGGAGGAGACATGGCAGCAGAGAGAAAAGGGAAAGGTTTAAAAATATTTATTAATAACTTGGGTGGCACATCCAAACAAGCCACATGAACTCAGTACTGGTGCACAACACAAAATTCATTTTGCTCATGGGAGGAAATTCTTAGGCTATGTCTACACTGGCTGTTTCTTGCACAAGAAAATCTTGCACAAGAGTTCTTGTCCAAGAAATCTTGCGCAAGAATATGTCCCACTCTGCCATGTGCGAGCTGTGCTTTTGCACAAGAGCATCTATGGCAGTGTGGACGCTCTCTCGCCCTTTTTAGCCATCGGGGTTTCTTGCGCAAGAAATCCCTGCCGAGCATCCACACTGCCCTCTTGCACAGGAGAGCTTACACCTGTTAGAAAAGAGCATAGCTCTTGCACAAGACGCCCTCTCTTACCACGCCGTACTGTACATTTCCTTGTGCAAGAGCAGACGGGCAGTGTGGATGCTCTGTGGGTTCTTGCACGGCTGTACTTGCGCAAGAAGCCACGAGTGTAGACATAGCCTTAGAGGGAACACTTCCCCCAGCCTCTCTGCCCCTGAGTTACTGTCCCACACATTGGGTTAATGCAACTGCAGGATAGTTGCATGAGGGGGATTTGGTGGGGGCCAAAATAATCCCTGTTGGTAGGAGGATGGTGGGAAAATCCCTTCGAGAGGGGTGACATGACACCTTTTACTTCTGGTCGTGTGTCCATCTTGCCCCGAGCGTGTTACCTCCAGAGGCATAGCTAACAGGAGGGGGAGGTCAGGGGGCGTGGCTAATGGGGACCAGGGGGCGTGGCTAATGGGGCACCACCAAAAATTATACAAACCTGCCACCCATGCTCCTCTTAGTGATGGAGGGTGCTCTCTTCCTGGGATGGTATCACCCCCTCCGGTTACCCCAGTCTGCTGGGGCCAGTGCCCAGCTCTGTCACTGGTCTGCCCCAGCCCAGGGTTAGGTTCTTCCCTCTGCTCCCAGCAGTCCAGTGCCAAACCAAGGAGGCAAGATGTGAGGCCCTGTTGTTACGCTCAGCACTGTCAGAAAGCTGGAGGGGCATGTTAGAGATGGGCCCAAGCTATGAAAGAGGCCAGGGATAAAAGTAATTTAAATTTCATACAGCTATTGAAGTCAAAGGGGGATAGTTCTGCTGGTCTGTAACTTTAAAAACAACAAGTAGTCCCGCAGCACCTTAGGATGCGTCTGCACAGCACCCTAAACTCAAAATAAGATGCGCAATTTGCGCTACACAAATTGCATAATCTTATTTCGATCTAATTTGGAAATAGGCTATTTCAAAATTTGGCATGTCTACAGTGCCAAATTTCAAAATAACGCACTATTTCGAACCATTCCTTATCCCTCGTGGCAAAATAGCACGCCTGTTATTTCGAAAAAGGATATCTGTGGTATCCCGAAATAGCCATGCAGTGTAGACGTACCCATAGGTATCCCGAAATAGCTACCCCACACCCAAGGAACACATCCGCTATTTCAAAATAATTTTTAAATTAACAGACACGCTATTTTGGCATCCTTGTAAACATTGTTCCATGAGGAATAAGGGATGTCTCAAAATAGTGCTTTATTTCAAAATTTGGTGCCTTGTAGACATGCCAAATTTCAGAATAGCCTATTTCAAAATAAAATCAAAATAAGATACACAATTTGCGTAGCGCAAATCGCGTATCTTATTTCAATTTTAGAGTGCAGCTTAAACGTACCCTTCGGGTGTGTCTAGACTATAGGGTTTTTTCGAAAAAAGTGGCCTTTTTTCGAAAAAACTTCCCGGGCATCTAGACTGCTGCCACGTTCTTTCTAAAGTAAATCGAAAGAACGTGGCAGTTTTTTCCGTTTTACGAGGCAGAACGCTTTTTTTCGAAAGTGCTCTTTCGAAAAAAGGCGCTATGTCATGCAAACTATGCTTTTTCGAAAGAGAGCATCCAGACTGCCTGGGTGCTCTCTTTCGAAAAGGAGGCTTGCTTTTTCGAAAGTACTGGTTGTAGTCTAGACACTCTTTTTCAAAAGTATCTTTCGAAAGAGGCTTGCAATCTAGACATAGCCTTAGAGACTATCATAAACATATATATTATCATAAGCTTTTTGAGCATTACACCTCATGAAGTGGGTTTTGCCAAAGAAAGCTCATGATACTATATATATATTTTGTTAGTCTTTAAGGTGCTACTACACTATTCGTTGTTTAAGTTTTTTCTGTTACAGACTAACACGGCTACACCCCTGAAGCTACAGTGTACAGTAAGTGTAGCCAACAGGCAGACTGTAGGCAAAATCCAGACCATCAGGTGCTTTTCAATGGACAATGTGGACTGAAGCCAAGTACTAGGGACAGAAAGAATAGTGCATAAACCACCTAAATATTGGCATTTTCTAACTTTTAGGTACTTGAATTTGCAATGCAAACAGCTTTCTTCCAACAGTCACAACGTGTTATATTAGTGGTTCTGAACCAGGGGTTCAGGTACCCTGGGGGTACTCAGAGGTCTTTCAGGGGGTACATTAACTCATCTAAATATATACCTAATTTTACAACAGGCAACATAAAAAACACTAGTGAAGCCAGTACAAACTAAAATTTCACAAGTCAATGACTGATTATACTGTTCTATATATTACGCTGTGTGACAGATGTACATTTATATTCCAATTGGTTTTATAATTATAATAAAAATGAGAAACCCAGCTATATTTCTGTAATAGGTACTATGACTTTTATATTTTTACATCTGAATTTGTAAGCAAGTAGGGATGCAAAAGGTTAACCGGCAAGCATTACGCTTACTGTGAACCAGACCGTAACAGTTAGCCCCTGTGGCCGGCCTGCGGGACTCCAATTCTGGTGGGATCCCGGCCACAGTGGGCCAGTCAACTCTTTACCCCCCTCCCTCCATTCGAGGCCAGCAGAGAGCACCTCTCTCTCAGAAGCTCTAGCACAGGATTCAGGGCAGCTCCTTGCCAGAACCGGCCAAATGTCTCATCTGCGCACTCATCAGGGATAGGCGTCCAAGAGGATTTGCGGGATCCCAGAGAGTCTCCCCACAGCTGGCAGGGAGCAAAGCGGGTGGGAGGGGCTGAGCCTGGCAGCACGTTCTCCACGCGTCAGGCGAAGGGTCAGCGAGGAGCTAGGGCCGATTTAGCGGTCACGAGGGGGCGGGGGGGGG